AGAAAAACCTGAGAGTTAAACCGGGGGAAACGGTCACCCTGCAGCCCGTCACGGGTCCAGTTCTCAAGGCCGAGGAGGTCCTTCTCTTCAACAGGTCAAGTTACTCAGCCTTTTTTAAAATTACATTATCTTTAAAACCAGCACACCTCCTTTTTTAATATATTTTTTTATTATTTTTTTTTTCTTATGCTGTTTTATGCTGTTCTTTTTTATTTTAAATGTTTTGTCTTAATGTAAAGCACATTGAGTTGCCGCTTGGTATGAATTGCGCTATATAAATAAAAATGCCTTGCCTTGCCTTTAACTGGGAGTTTTTTTTAGATCAAGGCATTTAAAAAATCCCCTGATTGCTCTGATCCAGATTAAAGTTAGCAGAGGTTTTTGCAGTTTGCTTTTCAGGATAATTTAACTCAACAATAATAATAATCATACAGAAGATATTTTGCTGCTCATCAATACAGGAAAAGATTTAAGCATATTTCCAAACTATTGAGAGACAAAGAAAATACTTTAATAATCCCAGAGGGAAATTATTTTTGTTACAGGCTCCATAAGTAAAACAAAGGCATATACATATATGCCTTTGTACATATATGTCTGTACATATATACAAATGTATATATACAAAATTCCTAATATAGTATAGCTAGATATATGCATAAAAAACTATATGTATATATATAGGTATAAAAAGTGGTGGTGATAATGTCAATGATCTGATCATCATCAACATCACAGAAAACAGTTACTTCAAGTTTTTGATGGTAAAGTGGCACAAAAATCACTTCCCTGTTAATCCTGCTGTGAAAAAGGGAATTTTTTAATACCAACAACTCCACAATTTACTACAAATTTCTTCAACAGACTCAAAATACAAACCTTTTTAGTCGCATTTGAAGTAAATGCTGCCATCTGGTGGCCGCGTTATGTAACTGCAGTTCAGCTGTAAACTATTTTTTTTACTTACTTTTGACTTTATTTGAACTTTCTTTGTTACTAAAGTGCCTTTAACCTCTACTCAGGTCAACAGATGAATCTCTGGACACAGATGAGTTCAGGAACTTCTTCCTGAGGTCTCTGGGTAAGTTAGCTTTGTCTTCTCATCTTTTATTAGAAAAAAAGAACAAAACGGTGGTCTCAGTCCTCCTTTTTTTTCCTTTTTTATGTATGCAATTAAAGGCATTTAATCATATTAGTAGTTAATGAATACTATTCACGT